CGTCAATTTCCAACTGTGAACACACCCATCTTGCAAATTCGAATGGAAGCATTCCTTTTCAAAAATAACCGCACAATGCATTCATACTACATTGCCTTCACCAATTGAATCAAGCCTCTGCCAGCCAAAGTCAATCCCATTCTTTTATTTGTAACAATCCCTATCAAACCTTAAATTCCCCTACCTCTCAAAAACTATAATGGGGCATTCCTACTAAAGTGTCACTTACAAATTTCGATGATTAGTATTGATCGAGACTGCAAACGCACCGGAATATATTTTAGCGAAATGGAGATTAGATTTGAAACACTTCGACGTGTATTCGAATATTTTTAGACCTTGGATTAGTAGTGACAAACAAAAAACTTGTGTAACAGTGCCAACGAAAGGTGATAACAATAGTCAAATGGTAGAATCGACATGCAAATTGACATCAAACTGTGGAAAGCCATTCTCAACTAATTTACCAAACCATGATCCTAGAACTGCAGGGTATCATACATCAGCTTTTCAGCTATGGCCTTGTCCAGAATTTTTGCCAGATCCGCATTTACCGGCTCATTATTTTGAGAACGTTCAATTGTCATATATGATTAGTCAACATCTTCAAGAGGAAAAGTTGTCGAAAGTATTTCGCGCACGAAAACAAAGACCACGAAAGTTCAAGTGCCCCCACTGCGACGTCCGCTTTTCCAATTCCGGTCAGCTTAGAGGACATGTACGAATTCATACCGGTGAGTTCAATTTTTATATATTCAAATAAAAGGACATTTTATTATTTATTTATAAATAATAAATATATAAGTGTTGGATAAAAGTTATTAGTTGGGATTCGTGCTGATTAGTGGTGTTAAAAATCGGCCAGGGCGTTTCTTCGTAATTAACAGTTATTTTTTTCTCTTGGCGATCTTGATGAATACTTTTATGATGGGGTTCATGGTCACAAAGAACATCCTAAAATATAATATCCCTGTGAAACTATACAATTTTAAAAGCTTAGCTCAATAAAGTTTGATATACCGATTGCAAAAATTTCAAAGCCGTTTGTTGGAATCTAATTTGCGTTGATTAATTTCACGCGATCGATTGAACCATTGTTTTAGAATATGCAAAAAATTCTTTTACGTTTTCACACAAAAGCCAGAACTGATTTTGAAAATTTAAA